GTGTGTGTGTGTGTGTGTGTGTGTGAGCGACAGCGTGTGTGAGTGAGTGTGTGTGTGTGTGTGAGATTGAGTGCAGGTCCGACTAACTGAGTTTTGAAAAGGTTTCATTTTGAATGCATAACTGTCTAAGTGTTATTATTATGATTTTTTAATAAACTAGTTTGAATATTTGAATACTTCTCAAAAGGAAACACATGATGAAATGACTCTAGTTCTTTAAGAAATGCAACACACACACAAAAAAAATCAGATCTCAGGAAAGAGCTTTAATTTGCTCCAATTATTAATCTACTGGAAGATGCAGGAGCAGAAAGTAAAATACTGATGCTGGGTTAATAATACAGAAAAATACACAATCTGCACAGACTGATGCAGCAGCACCTTTCCAATGTAAGTTAAATATTAATATAATAATTAGATATTACAAATAATTTGGTAGTTTTTTTTACTGGTGCAAAGATGAGTAGTGGTGATATTTATTTTGTACAACATTTGCAACTGCTTTTTATCACTTAATTAGAAGCACCACAAATTAAAATGATGTCATGTTATAGCGACTACTGAACAGACTTTAGAAGTTGATTTTAAAATGCAAAGTATTTCAAATTAAAATAAAGCTGTACACACTTGCATTTTTACAACACTATAAGTGTGTCCCATCAGGTGATGAAGAGTTTGACACACACTTGTGGTCTTCACACCCACTTGAAGACTTCGGCCAAATACAGGAAATACGTCATTTAAGTAATCAAGTGGTCAAGTGCAAAGACTGCAAGTGTGGGTTTTTGGACAAAGCCACACTTATGAGCGTCTGATGCATGAAGTGAAGTAACGGAGCGCGAGGCGGCAGAAACGCTGAACATCTATCCGTGAGGTTCCTGGAGAAATACAAGGTTAATTACGCGTCGCCTGTGACTCCAGTGAAGGTGCATCTTGTTTTCAGAGTGACTGATGTGGAAAGCTCTGAAACGCAGATGTGATTAGTTCTGTATGTCAGTAACTAACAGCAGCGTTACTCTGCAGTGGAAGCTCTTGAGTGTCGTCTCAACCCACTGATCAGTCCATCTCAAACGGTCCAGTGAGGCTGCTTGTCCAATTTTTAAGTTTCCTCTTTTTTTTGTGATTACGTCTACAGTTTTTAATTGTAGTGTCTGTTCTTTTACTGAACTTAATGATTTTTATTACTATGATAAGAGAAGTTTCCTTTCGTATTGTCCATCGTGTATATCCTGTTAATACCTTCTTAAAGAAATTCAAAAAAGATATTGATACAAATTGTTATTTTTGCAAACAGCACCCAGAGACTATTGTGCATTTATTTGGGCTTTGCCATTACTCTAAAATATTGTGGAAAGACTTTTCCCTATTTGTTACCGAGAACATTGATGAGGATTTTTCTTTATTTTGGGAAAATGTTAATGTTAATGGGAAAAAAGAACATTTACTAAAAAACAAAATATACTTACTTAATCTTCTTATTTTATTAACCAAATTTTATATACATAAATGTACATTTTCAGGTCAAAAACCACTTTTTTAAGTTTTGCTTGCTGAATCGCAGCATTACTTTGGGACTATCTTTAACTCGTGTAACAAGAAGGCTTTAAAAACAATTGAAATGTGTAAGTCTTTTAATCTTTTCCTTTGATGTGATCTTTTGTGATTAGTTATATACCCCTGTCTTGTACCCTGTAGTTTTATTTTTCTTTTGTTCTACATTGTGACTGCTTTTATCTTTGTCTATATAATGTTCTTAATAAAAAAAGAAAAAAAGAAAGAAAAGGCTGCGCCAGGTTTCTAGCTGTCCATGGAATTCCAGTAACACCAAAAGAGTTTTCTATAGTCATGGATGCAATTCCCAGAGGAGTCTTGGCATTATTCAGAGCTAATACCCAAAACAGTATTACATTCCCCTCTGCATTTGATCTATTTGATACTTGTTTTGGGAAACTTTGTTTTGCCTCTGGAAATATGAATGTTAACAAAACTGTCCGTTCCTTACTTCAAAAAGACATTGTTTCTTCTCCAAACTGTATAATTGATCAGAACAGATTAGTTAGAGGTTTCTTTTGGAAGGCCATTTGGACCTTGCCAAACAAAGAGCTATTGGTAAACAAAGTCAAGGAAGTAACCTTTAAAATGTTACGTAGATACTACCCAGTAAATTATTTTCTTGTTAAATTTAAAAATGATATTGATTTGAATTGTTCTTTCTGTAATATGATGACTGAAACGTTGTTTCACTTATTTTGGCATTGCTCTTATGTAAACATTTTTTGGAAAGATTTGACTAGACTTATAATTGATAACATTGACCCCACTTTTTCTTTGTGCTTAGAACACGTTTTATTTGGTTTGACTAATATCCCTTCAAATAAAACCAAAGAATATTACATTATAATTTTAATTTGAGCTAAATTTCATATCCATAAGTGTAAGTACAGTAAAACCAATCCTTTATTTTTGGTTCTTGAGAAAGAAATTCTAATTTATGTTAAGACGATTTTGTATTTACATAATAAGAAAGCAATTAAGACTGTCTCCATTTGTAAGTCCTTTAATATATTTACATAATGTTTAGGCCACCCCCCTGGCTGTATGTGAATTTTGTATGCATATTTTTTATTTTTTGTTTGTGTTTTATGTTTTCATGTGTATTATTGTAGTGAGAGAGAGTGTGTGTGTGTGTGTGTGTGTGAGAGAGAGAGAGAGAGTGTGTGTGTGAGTGAGAGAGAGAGTGTGTGTGTGTGTGTGTG